TAGACCAGCAAAGGACCATCTTAAACCAGCAAAGGACCAGCATAAACCAGCATAAACCAGCAAAGGACCAGTTTAAACCAGCAAAGGACCAGCTTAAACCAGCAAAGGGCCAGCATAAACCAGCAAAGGGCCTGCATAAACCAGCAAAGGACCAGCATAAACCAGCATAAACCAGCAAAGGACCAGTTTAAACCAGCAAAGGACCAGCTTAAACCAGCAAAGGGCCAGCATAAACCAGCAAAGGGCCTGCATAAACCAGCAAAGGACCAGCATAAACCAGCATAAACCAGCAAAGGACCAGTTTAAACCAGCAAAGGACCAGCTTAAACCAGCAAAGGGCCAGCATAAACCAGCAAAGGGCCTGCATAAACCAGCAAAGGACCAGCATAAACCAGCATAAACCAGCAAAGGACCAGCATAAACCAGCAAAGAACCAGCTTAAATCAGCATCCCAGCGTCAAAACATACCTAACCAGCATATGCAGGTTTTTTTCAACATGGTTGGCACTGTAAATACATTTCACCTTGCACAAAAGTGCTGTTGTGGATTGAGCCATCATTTTTTTTACTTTTTTTTACAAACACTCATTATGTCCCCAAGCGAGCTGGTGGTGCTCGTTTCATCTCACTCTTCAAACAAATGATGTTGAACTTTTTCTTAGAGTAATTTATAAAAGTAAATGTAAATAAAAGAGATTTTACATTGGCAACTGATGTCAAGGTGATTTGTAGTGAATGTATGAAGGCAGTCCCCTCAGGCTGTTTAAATGAAAGAGACCCATTGTAACTCTAAACTCAGTGTATTTCTACCCAGATGCTGTCACATCCTAAAACCTCATCATCTGCAGAGAGAAACTGCGACTCAATTACAATGATGGACATAAAGACTTCACATGATTGTGAAGATATTTCACTGTATCCTTTTTTAATGTTTTTTAATGTCTTTATGTATTTATTCACGTTGAATGTCACTTGTCATGTATAATTTATTAATGCATTATTTAATAAAATGACAGATTTGTTTTTAAAAGAAAAAAATAATGCTTTTATTAGAATGATTTCTGAAGAGTCATGTGGCATTGAAGACTGGAGCAATGGCTGATGAAAATTCAGCTGTGCCATCAGAGGAATAGATTACATTCTAAAATATATTAAAATAGAAAAGTTATTTTTCAATTGTAATAATATTTCACAATGTTACTGTTATAACTTGTTAGAGCACTGTCGTTTTTGTTACAATTACTCATGTCAATAAAAAATTTATAAAATGTTGGCACGGCCTGCTGACATTTTTATAACTGTAAAGCCCTAATAGAGACTACAAGATATTATCAAATCAGGCAGATAGAGGGGTGAAAACAATATTTAAAAATAATACTAATGAAAGTAAAATTTTATTTTAAAAAAAGGTTCTATATAGCACTTTCAAAGCATGGTTCTTTTTAGAGCCTTATAAAAATGGTTATATTTAGCACCAACAATGTTATTGTTACAAGCCTAAAAACCCTAATCTGGTACTGTTTAGAACCATTTTCATTAAGAGTGTACCTTTTAAATGCATACTGTACAAATTTAATAGACTTAATGACTCATGGCATCTATTGCCAAGCTGACTTACATTTTCAATCAATTAATTAATTGTTCTTAATTTATCGCTTGCGTTCATTTCCTAATTATTTTCCTTACATTATTTCCATGGTACAGCATATATTCATAAGTAGTTTTCTGTATATATTTGTAATTGTCATTTTACCTAAATGTAAATTCATCAAAAAAGTAGGCAGCCAATTGAAGATGCTGCCAATATGGTGATTCTGCATCCAAATCATAACCCTTAAAACCTTCAGAGCTGAGTATGAGTGAGTTCTGCCGAAGCCATTTGGTGAATCTCTTTGGCCACGACCCAATCAGAGTCATTAACCTGATGTTCCAGATGAGCAGAGACCAGAATGATAAGGATATCATCCCATTATTGAGTCCATTAAGAGAGCCAGAGGAGGGTGAAGATCCATGCCGTCTGCAGTCAAATTTCATTCACCACCAGCGCACAGAGATAATTAGTCGACGGACCACTCACATGCACACACTCACAGAGCGCAGACTCATTATCCTGGACAACATTGACTGTTAGCTGCTCCCTTGTGTTTTATTTGACCATACGCTATTATATCTAAAAATACCTTTGTCTTTAATTAAAGCCAAAACCAAAGCCATTAAGCAAACAACTGTC